TCAGATTGTCGTACGATCGGTCTTCATGATTGTAGGGCAAGTGTTCGTAGTGCATGCCCAACTCCATCTTCATTGCGGGCGAGTCTTTGATCTTGCTGTACAAGCAATCACGGAGAGCTGTTTTGGATGGTATGTCTTCTGGCCTCATCCGTCCCAGAACTTCCAACCACGTCTGCTTGAACGTATGAAGTTTGTTGTCGCCTTGGTACTGGAGCTTCACCAGATACTCGAGAGTGATGATCATGTCGAGACGATCATGCGTTCGAAAACTTTCATACATCATCGCAATGATTTGTCGTCCTTTGATGATCTTCCCTTCGGGCCTGCTGATGTAATCGTTGGCCTTCCGGTTCACCTCCAGGTACAGATCAGCAGATTTGTCACCACCAGCGCGTAGCATTGCGACCATGGCGATCCCCAATTTGACGTCTACGCTCTTGAACTTCTTGTGTCCTGAATCGTTCAGTGCTTCGACATCAGGGAATGGGTTGAATGCTGGTGCCAGCCATAACATCCAGTCCTCATGATTTGGGTCGGCTGATGCTCCTAAGACATTCGCCGTGCATACGGATCGCCAGTTGTTGAGGTGAGTGAGAGTAGGCCATGGAGGAACGGTCACTTTGTCGGCCTCCCTCCTGGAAATTCTTACCTCCGTGACTTCAGGATCTGCGTCTCCATCAGGATCACGTGCATGAGAGCCAGGATCCGATTCAGGTTTGCCTCCACCGCCTCTCTTCTTATCATCATCGTCATCATCAGGCGGATCTGGAGGGTCATACCCCGTGCCGGTTCCTTCATCATGCTCTCCCTCTTCGTTCTCGTCGCCAGCTTCGTCACCGTCATCGTCTCCATTATCTTCCTGAATCGTTTCAGCGAATAATCTCCACTCATCACGATCAGCTCTGAGACGCTGTTCGGCTTTCTGGGCCTTGAGTACTTCGCTTCGCAGATCGGCAATCTTCTCTTCGTACCGTTCCGCGACCTCTTTCTCGATCTGACGTCTCCTTGCTTCATGGATGGAATCGTCATAGGCAACAGGGGGACCAATGAGGTCGTTGCCCTTCGTAGATGCGGTAATGCCGTCGACACCAACAGGTCTTGAGGAGCTGGCAGATGCTGTGGACTTCGATCCCAACATCCCGCGATCCTCCAAGAGTTCGCGTAGCTGTCGATCACGCACGGCTGCCGCATCACTTTTCCCATGAAATCCGCTTGGTATGCCGAACAAGTGGCTGCACTAGGCGTGGAACGCGCAAGTGCTGGGCTGCTAATACCTGGCACGTAGTGCTCGGGCATTGCATCCGCCACGATTGGCATTGAATTGCGGCCAGTGAAGAAGTTTCCACCGGTAAATGGAATTCCATCCATCACAAGGTTCTTGTCCTTGTCCGATTCCGAGAATGCGAACTTCTCTTTGGCGACTGGACTAACTTGACTTGGGGACCGTATTTCAGGGGATCGTACCTCACCTCCTACGGAAAATGCAGGCACTACTTCCTTTCCTACGTGCTCCCAGCCAGACTCAGTAGTCCTCGAAGACATGGGCATGCTCGAAGGCCGTGTCGCTCCGCCATAGTTGGAGTTCCGCGCTGCCTCCAATTCGCTGCGTGTCCTCGCTTGAAGATCTTCTTGTGCTTTGAGTGTTTTCCTGAGTTCACTCAGCTCGTCGTGCAAGGTAGGCAATGCTCGCCTTGCATGATCTTCATTCTGATGAAGTCGGTCCTCTGCATCTTGCATCCTCCTCACAGCCATTTTGCGGTACTCTTCCTCTTCACCAAGACGTTCGCGAAGCCGAAGTCGTTCTTGATCAATGGCTGCGCTGTTTCCAGCTAGCCCTTGGATCTCGTTCACGGCCCGCAACTCCTGATTCTTGACCAAGTGGAATCGTTCCTGCATTGCTTGTAAGGCTTGTTCCGAACTTGCTGTGTTCGACCGGAGGAACAAGTTCTCTCTGGCATGTTCATGAAGTTCATGAGTCAGACGCTCATACTCACGTGCCATAAGCTCACCATCGCCTTGCGCTCTTGCCTCCAACTGCACAAAGTTAGTGGCTGCTTCCGTGCGGAACACGTGTAGCTGCTGAGCTAACTCCTCGGCAACGGCATGTGCTTGACGTTGTTGAGCAGAGTTCTGTTCATCCATGCGAAACAAAGCTGTTTCATAGTCTCGCTTCATCTCCTGATTGACATTGTTGATGTGCCTCATGGCTAAGCATGCATGGTCACGTTGTCGTTCCAATTCTTCAATGCGAATTCCAGATCCTTCATCTTCTTGTTGCATCTCCTTGATCTTGTCCATCAGGGTCTGGACAACTCCTTCGTACTCTTGCATCTGACTGCGATAGTACATCTGCTGCGCAAGGTTCGATGCTTCGAACTGTTGCGAAATCGTCAGCTCCTGATAAGCATTCGGACCATCGGCTATGGCTGGCGTGGTCACCGATGACGCATCACCACGTGCTGGAATAGTGTCCAGAGTCATATCCAGATCGTCAGCATCGCGTGGTTGATTGGTAACCATCCGATTCCAAGTCATGGACTTATCACGCCCACGAGTAGCCGAAGTCCTTGATCGTGCTGAAGAGCTTCTCGAAGATGATGGTCTTGACTTCTTTTCCAAGGTCTTCACTCCTTTGTCCTTGGCCCTGGACGTAGTCCGAGGTGCCTGAAAACCAGACGCTTCGGCTCGTCGTTCTGGAGCCTTGCCCGTCCTCGAACCTGTGGATGTCGGACGCGAAGGCGTAGATGCTCTTGGTAGACTCTTTGCTTTCACCTTGGGAACTGCCTTTGCAATGGCAAGCGCAGAAGATTGACCTTTGTCATCTTCCGTGGAGCTATCAACGGATTGCACCACTGTGTCATCAGCTGTTGACTCACCAACGGCTGGCGCTGCCACATCGGCACCGAAAGTCATTGTCGTATCTTGGCTTGATCCCGAGTTCATTGTGGTCGTAGTAGATCAAGTAGTCGTTGCTGTAGAAAGGCAGAGCCGCGTACGGCTGATAACCTGCGTGGGGAATTGATCTCGACTAGGTTGCTGCTCTCCCCACCAGAGCTGTAATGAATGTAGGTGTGGCTGGCTTGCACTCTCCACAGACTGGACCCTGTCTCTCTCACACTTCCACACGTGCAATCCTATGCAGGCAGAACCGGCGGCCGTTCCTTTTGCACTCACTGCCGGCGGCGGTTCGTCTGTGCAACGGGATAGCTCTGATTGCTCAGGATAGAAGACACTTATAGCACTTAGCTATGGGCATTGACTTGAGCCAAACGTTGCGTGGGCGGTCACATAGAAAGGTAAAGACGAGGGACACGTAGCGTGCCCCCTTAGAGTCGAGGGACGCGTAGCGTGCCCCCTTCTCTTGCACTTTACACGGTCATGCTCACAGCTCTTATAGTGACACCTTAGAACTTGACAAGGCATCGCAGTCCGTTCGCAGCTTTTTAAAAGCATTCAGTCCCGTATGAGACTCATGAGTCCAGGTCTGCGGGAGAATGTAGGGCTAAGTTCGGAGTGCGAGCTTGTTGAAGGTCGGTTTAGGGTTTAGTGTTTGGTGTTTCGGGTTTTAGTTTTGATGACGCGTTACCTGCCACCCCTGAGGACCATGATGCTCCGGGTGTCTGGCCTGTAACTCCACATGTCAGGGTTCCGGATTGCTCTTCCCGCTTCATGGCAGGTCTTCGTCAGCGGGTATCAGAGATACGTCACGATGAATAATCGAATTTTGCAGCATGGTTCTTAGACTGTTTTGGGGAAGTTCTCATTTCAAGCATAATCAAAATGGAGAGCCTCTCCCGCCCCCCCCGACTTTGAGAAACCCCTGAATCCCTTAAACCCACGGCGCAGAGGGCCTCTGCGAGAAGACGTCCAAGCTCTGTGCGGCTGTGGACGGACTCCTGCACCCAAAGGGTCCAGGTGCCGAAGCCCTCACGGTTTCTGGTTTCCGAAACCCTAACTATTTGCCAGATGATAGGGTTTCGGAACCAAAAACCGTTCAGGGTATGGTGGGACCTAGCACCCTACTATGTGTGTACTTGGACCCTCCGAGCAAGATATGGTACTTTCGTAGAATTTTCGGGACACCTTCTCACTAGGGGTACTTCCAATTGTGAGCAGCATATTATCCATTGTGGTCAATTCAAACCCCGGGATGTGAGTTTCCTCATCACCACGAGGCTATAGGAACCCAACTTCCGAAAAATTGTGGTTGTGGTCTTCCCCCTGATCCGCACAGCAAGCCACATGGAGAATGCACCCATGGAAGTTGCAAAGCTTGCTAAACAGTGCATGCCGAGCTGCTGTGTCTGCCTTCTGATCCACAATCCTGCGGTACACTGCATGCAAGAAGCGCTGGCATGCAATCTCAAGCAACGCTGACTATAATACATGTATGGGTTGTACTGTTGTACGTGAGCCGGATTGCATCACGACTGCGCTGGAACAATACTGTAGGGGCCTTGATATTTAGAACAGGGTTTTGGGGGGGGTCCATGTCTTAGCTCTAGTCTCGTCTAATATACCCCCAAACCCTATTCGACTTAGTAAGGCCCCTATATCATGGTCCTCTAATACCCCCTGAAGTAGCCCTTAGAGTAGCCCCCTTTAAAAGGAACCCTATTCGAATTATTCAGGCCCCTACATGACTGCGAAGCCTTGGGCCTTACGGCTTCGGGGCTGCATCGAGGCAAATTGGTAGGATGACAACCCACAAGCCCAGATGGGAGCTTCCGAAAATTAGGGGTACTATAAGGCTATAAGGGTGCTATAAGGGCCCCTTTAGAGGGATTTATAAGGGTTTTGGGAGTTTCAGAAAATTCGGCGTACCTTGTTTTGGGGTCTTCATAATAAGGATCCTACTATTTAGGGTACTATATTAGGGCCCCCTATTTTCGGAAACTCCCAGCTCACTTCAAGGAACGCGAAACCGCATTGAGACCGGGGTGCTCAGAACAGATTTATATGCTTGGCTTAGTATGTAAGCTAGTGTATATACATACATACTACAAAGAGAAGAAGCCCGCATCCACAGACCCGCGCCTTTGCAGATCCTCAAATGCGTGCATCTTGACAGTGCTGCCGTTGACAGCGACGAACCTGGGTTCAACGGGTTGGGAACTTAGAATTATGCTTTAGAGGGTACCATATCTGGAAAGCCCCAAATCCCAACACCCTACACCCACAAAACCCCACATGTAAACCCCTGCCAGTTGAAAAACTGAATGCCCTGCCCAAGGCATTTCCCGACCTACACTATAGACTGTGATCTCATGATAACTTGTACACGAGGCATCGTCATGTGTAGCCGCAAACTACGACAGTGGACAATCATGTAAACAAAAGTAACTGCTGCTACTGCTGCTGCTCCTAAACTGCTGCAGTAATAAATCCCAACAAATAATGAGAGTCCCGTCCCAGCCAGGCTGATGCAAAGTCATAGAGTTCAACATGCGTGGACGGGTCCCGAGTACTAGTATTCCCGTAAGGACACTACAACCACAAACTCACCAATACTCCTGAAGATTCTTGCATACACGCGCCATAGTCGTCAGGTTGACATGTACGGATGTAATTATGCATGTATGTATGCAGGCATGCAGGCATGCATGTGCAGATAGACAGATAGATAGACCTGTCTTTCTTCGACCCCCGAAAACCTACATTTTCAAGCAGTATAGAACCACTACACATCCCTTCAAGCATATAGAACCCTTGTCAATCTCCTCTCGAACCTCGAACGGTAACAGAAGTCCTAAAGGGAGCAAACCCTCAACACAAACACTGTATTCTACTACTTGTCAATAAACATTTATCCCTTACAGTGCAGTCAAGGGAACAAAGATGCCAATTTAAAGGAGTCTATATCCCTGATTGGCCTTAGGCACATGGAAATACAGCCCAAGGAGCTCGGACATGCTCGGCACATCCCAGCGGTCGGCCTGCATTTGCTTGCTTCGTATAGGGTTGTGTGTGTGTGTGTCCACATATACACTGCTATGTACATATGAATACAGTACACCCTCCATATATATATATATATATATGTATGTATGTGTATGTACATCTCTTGCATACACATTCGCATATATATATATATACATACATGTATATATATATATATACATAAATGTGTATATGTAAAAGTATATATGTATAAATAGTAGATCTTGGGTCTACTGTATATGTACACACACATAGACATGCTAGATGAATACATAGACATGCATGCAAACATGCATACCTACATACATTCCTTACGTTACATACACCCATTGCATACATGACCAACTTACATACCTGCATGGTAGGATAAGGAGGGGGTTGCAGCTAGATCGAAACGGGCACAGCACTGTTGCGGGGGTGTATATGCTTGCCTGGTTACTTCGAGGGTCAGGCGACTGATGAGAGGGGCCTTACTAATTAATTAGAATAGGGTTTTGGGGCCCACTATACTAAATGATAATGCGGAATCCCCAAAATAGTATAGGTAACAGTTAAGGCCCCTAGATTATTGGATAGACCATAGATATGTTGTTTGTATGCGTGACACACCGAGATTGGGTGCCGGCCATCATGAGCCGACGATAGGCTTTGTGCCGTTCAAGATGAAGTTGGAGTGGTGGGGGCAGCAATGTCAAAGGTCAAAATTTCATTGGGGTTGTCTGTGGTGTTGCTGCAGTTGCTTTTAATTTTCTTCGTATCAGGAGGTAACCGTTCTCGTCATGCAAAATGTGGGACGCAAACACCTGAGCTTTGACAAAATCCAAGACCCTGAACCCGGGAAGCCCAATAGCCGATACTGGATCTCATCGACCCCCTCCCTATCAGCTTAGAAACCCTATACGCTCTAAATTCCGTAAGCCATGTACACCCACCAACCCTCGCGATTGAGCCTTGTTCTCCAAGTTCGTGGTCAGAATTTGGAACTGAGACAAGGTTGGCGTGTCCTTCGGATAAGGCTCAATCCAGCCAGCGGATGCTTTGGGGTCTTAAGGTTTAGGGTTTAAGGTTTGGGCCATCAGGCTTCCTAAACCCTAAACCCTAAACCCTAAGCTTACTGTTCGTGGTTTGAGATTCAAGCCGGCTCGGGGTTACTCTCAAGGCTACATTCAAGCTCTTCCGTCGGAAAACCAGGTTTACGGCGTCGAGGCCTAGGGCAAATCAGCTAAGTTTGAACTGTGATGCATCTTTTGGAAGGCCAGATGTAAAGTGAGGGAAGTTACAAACAGGATGCTACAATCCGGACACTGGACCCCGAAGCTGCCTCTAATTCCATTACCTTTGGGCCTTCCACATTTGCGGGTTCAGGCCTTGAGGTTTATGCAGAGGAGTCCACCTTCCAGGAACGAGACCTCAGTGTGGAAACCCAAAGCCCTAAACAGAGAAAATCAAGCCTTAAATGCAGCCTTTTAGAGAAAACAAAACCCTCAACCCGATATCAGAAACTCTATCAACATCAACCCTCGGCAATACCGATAAACTCCAGTGCTAGGTTCGTCTGCCAGTATCACTCCTCAAACAAACTACATTGAACGGACAACCTAAACAGGACCCGCGACCCTGCACTTACCTTGATCCTAAAGGTTTTTTTGTTGAGGGCTCTTTTCCACCTGTCTAGCAGCTATAGATCCTAAAGGGTTTAGGTTCTAGGGGTTCAGGGGTTTAGGGTAGTACCTTTTGGTTGGCCACCTTAGTTTCTTAAGGCTTCTTGTAATAGGCTCCTACTCGTAAAACAGGAACTCCGCAAACCCTACACAAACCTTAAACCCTATGTAAGTAGGAAGTCCAAACAAGGGGTCCACCTGGAGGCTAGTGGGACTTAGTATCTTTTTCTATAGAGTAGACAACCCCAAAGGCTCCTCATAGACGACCACGATGGAATCTGGCCTCAAAACACCATCCTTATTTGGAGGGTTTTGGAGACATGATACCATAATAATAGTATGTATGGAGCCTATTGGAACGATATATATATATATATATTACATAGGCAATTGGTTATGACCCCAACTCAGGTACTTGTAACCTTACTTACCGATTTGCATGAACCTCCAAGAAGACCCTTAACCCCAACAAAACCTCCAACCCTAAACTCTAGATATCCCTTTAAGGAAACCTTTCAGGAAGCCTTGAATTTACTAAGTCCCAGTAGTCCTTGCTTTCAGCCTTGTTCTGGAGCATGCGGTTCAAGAGCTGCACTTCTAGCGCAGTGGCCACCTTAGTTTAGGGTTCAGGGTAGAGGGGCTTAGAGGTCCAGGGTTATAAGGTCTAGGGTAGCCCTAACCACTAAGCCCCTAAACCCTGTCTCCCCAAGCCCTGAGGCCTAAGACCTAAAGGCCTAAACCCTAACCTTACTAACCTGAAGACCCAAGACCCAGCCACACCTGTCCATTAGCCTTCTCGCTGTAGGTTTTGTCATGCAGCTCTCGCCCACAGGATTGTGCTTTTCGGGGCTTGTGGATGGAATTCTGAAGAGTTCCATCACTAGTTTACCTTCGCGTCCACTAGGTGCCGTAATAATCATAATAGAGCTTTTTGGGGAGGGTCCCTAAACCCTAAACCCTAAGGCACCGCAAGGAGTCACATTGCAATGTATTCAAGCTTATTGTTTGGGTTGCCTTCGGGGCGTCGCGCTGCTATGCGCTCATTTATCTACTTGCCCAGATCGAAACTATGGTTAGGGTTTTTTGAAGGGTTTAGGGTCAGGGTTTAGGGGTCGGGGTTTAGGGTTGATGAGAGTTTGGAGAGTCTAGGGGTTTAGGGTTTCGGGTTCCGGATTCCAGTTAGGGTTTAGGGAAGACGAAGGCCTTCTGTTGGCAGTTCTAAACCCGGGACCCTGACCTTGCAACTGTAATACCCGAAGCCCCAAACCTTAAAAATTGTAAACCAAGAGACCAAGAGCTGCTCAGATATCCTGCGACCAGGGGGCATCGCCGGTGTCCGCCTTGCGTGCTAGCTCCTGATCTAGGCTGCAAAACAGCAAATCAGCCTCGCATTAGGCTCAAGGGTTTGCGGGTTAGTGTTCATACGGTTTGGGGTACGGAAGCTTCAGGTTTGAGCCATCAAGTGTCGCTTGAGCAGGACCAAACCACCAAAAAATTACCCCCAAAGCCCTGAAGCCCTAACCCCTAAAACCCAAACCCTAACACTCCAAATGCCTGAAAACCCTAAACTCTAAACCCTAAAAGCCTTATCCTAAAACCCCCAAACCCTCAAACCCTAATACTCTCAAAACCCTAGGCAACAGGGTGCCCAAAGCCGCCGATCTCCCGCTAGTTCAAAAACCTGTTCTTGGGGTTTTGGGGTTTAGGGTTCAGGGATTTAGGGCTTAGTGTTCTCATGGGTTCTCTCAATCAACAGCCGACAACACACTCCAGCCCTCAAGCCAGAATCCTGCACCCAAAAAATCCCCAAATCACCAAGCGATCTCCCACATCCGTCCTCCTGCATGCGACGGAGCTCAGCATCGACCTCCCAGGTGCATTACATAGGGGCCTTCATGATTAGAATAGGGTTTTGGGGGCGCATTATATCATAATTGTAATAAGGAACCCCCAAACTCAGCATCGACCTCCCAGGTGCATTATTTAGGGGCCTTATAGGCTTTTGGGGCCCATTATACCCTAATTGCAATAAGGAATCCCCAAACTAGCATTTGCAATTAAAGGACCAGGATGGACCCGGGACTAAGCAAGCAGGTCCTAAATTGAGTTTTGATTACCCTAAGTGACCTGATTCTCGTAGTAACCTTCCTAGGATACTCAGTAACCTAAGAGTAAAAAGGCCTCTCTTTTTGGTATTGGGTAACTTTACAAGGAACCTAGGACGACAAAAAGGGAATAAGGGTACTACTGGGCATCCTAGCTTCTCTGCCTAGTTGCTTGGAACCTAATTTCTGCATCCCCAGATTCGTAAAAGGAGGGCTTGGGCTTACCCTGCAGACCAAGATTCCGCAAAGGAGTGCTCCGGAAAGAACCCACGTTTTGGGCATGGGAGAACTGAGACGGGTGGAGTACTCCTGAGGCACAAAGAGGTCCTGAAGAGTCTAAGAGCCAGGACACTAGGATTCAGCATCCAGGTCTAGAGTCCAGGACAGTACTTGGGGGATCTTGGGACGTAGTCAAGATTCAAACACGACGCTTCTCAGCCCTGTCGGGATCGGTATACAACTCTCTCAAAGAGCCGTAGCACTTCCGACCAGACTGCACCGCTCCTTGGCGACACGAAAGCGCGCCTGCAAAATAAGGCCGTCCCTTACAGTGCTGTCAGCTTCTTTCGGCCTCAACAGTTGAAATTGTGGCGGAGGCTCTTCTCACCCGTCACACGAGCTGTCCAAGATTTTCGTCAGTCTGCAACATGGCAGACGCAAAAGAGTCCTCGGCCTGCAGCAACACCAGCTTCAGGCCTTGCAAAGATAGCAAATGCCGGCCTCACGCAGTGCTTGCGCAGCCTTCACACCGTCAACACAACATGATTCTCCGCTGAGGCCTCGGTAAGTTACCCTTAACCCTCAACCTAAAACCCTAAACCGTGCTAAGGCCACTACATTACTTCGAACTTCGGGGTTTTGGGCCCAGGGCGGCTGACCTGAGCCTGGAGCCTTCAGGCTGCATTGAGTTTTAGGGTTAAGGGGCGGCGTATGTTTTAGGATGTTTTGAGGATTTAAGGTTCAAGGGTTGAGGGCTTTTGGCTTTAGGGTTGTGCCGGGCATCGCGTTTTAAGTAGTTGGGGGTGGTTCGGCATGGTCTTTGTCTCCACTGTTCTCAGGTTATCATGAGGGTATCTTAATATGGTATTTCAGTTGCGGGTTGCGGGCTACTGTAGTGTTGAGAGCCACAAGGAACCAGGAGATTAGACATGCAGCACTCATCAGCCACATCCTTCTGAAACATCATGCTAGATGGACTGCTGTTTGGCACAGGACAAAGCTTAGTCATGGCTTAATTACCCTAAACCCCAAACCCTGCACCCTAATAATTCTCTTAAACTGCGGACCCCGAGCCCTGAACTCTCAACCCTAAACCCTGAACTCCACAACCTGAACGCTGAACCCAGTGTATTCAGGGCTTCAACAGCGCCACCCCCGATGACTCCGGTCCCTAGCTCTGCGAAACCATGCGAACCATACCTTCAAAACCGCATGAGTGCCTGGAATCTCAAACTCTCGTCCAACAACGGATCTGTCTAACTATGTGTCTACCCAGCTATATGATAAAACCCTCACCCAAAAAACCTCTAAACCCATAAACCCCTAAACCCTAAAACCCAAAACTAAACTTGAAGGATCATGGGACTTAGCAAGTAAGGTTGTTATTAGGGTAACTATACTTATAACCACGTATAGCCCCAATCAAGGTACTTATAACCATACTTAGTAAGTCCCATGATCCTTCAAGTAAGCCCTAGTCTGAGGCACATGGCCTGAGACCGATGTTGCAGCAAAAGCTCGAAGTTGGCCAGGGTCGGAACCTGCCAGCCAGAGCCCAGCACTAAACCCCAAAAAGGGTTCCTTCAAGGGGTTCTATAGGGGTACTATAGGGGTTCAGGTTTAGTGCAAAACAACATGGTATACGGGCCTTAACATCAACAAGAATAGTTACAACAAGGCTTTGGGTACTTATAGAATACTGTAACTGTAGTGAGGAACCCTACAATAGAATTGGGATTACTTAGGCCCCCATACGAAACCCCGGAAGCACGCAAAGGAACAGGGGAATTAGAAATTGGTACCTGGTTATACTTAGGATAACCCTACCTTATCGGCCCAGTTATCACCTACTTTCCAAGTCTTCGGTAGTGAAACCCCGCCCTATAGACCGAGGCAGATCGGAAAACAACCCGCAGCAAAGGACATCGCCAGAGAGCCCAGTACCGCTAAATTCATGAAGATGTCCCGAATGAACACCCGGTCGCTCTTAGAAAGCAATATAGAAACCTGAAGCAGGCTTAGGCCTAAGGTGAAAGCCAGAAAGTTGGAATATGATTATCCTAACCTTTCTATGGTAAATTATAGGGTATCCTACCATGAAACCATATTCCAACTTTCTGGAGTTTGATATATCGTCTCTGAGATTTGAGGGCTGAAGGCTCCTTAGACTTAGTGGTCCCCGGTCCGAGTTCTTGTAGTCCTAGTATATAAGCAGGATCCTGCATGGATCTAATTTACTAGTGAACTATACTGAACTTAGAACCCTAGCAAAAATTATAATTTTAGCTGTTTCTGAGGGATTATAACAAACAAAAATTGAAAGTTATTTCTAAGTACCCCTAAGTGACGTGCTCGCTCTAGGGGCTTCGCGAAGGCTGGCCTGACTGGTAGATGCCTTGGTGGAGACGACTTCCTCCAGAGCCTGCCCCGGGGCTTACATGTTGCTGTTCCTTGCGGATGTCCGGCTTCCGGTTCCTTTCAGACTCCTGAGTTGTCCTTTAAGCCCTTTGAAAATTAATTACTATTATGGCTCTCTACAAAATAGTAGGGGAAATTAAAAGAGATCCCAAAGGACAACCCAGACTCATTCAGGGAACTACAGGGTTTTCAGGGTGACCGGCTTCAGGCTTGGGATTTCTAGAGGTCTATGAGGTTCAAATTGAAAGTCTGCAGGATTGTGCGAAAGGCTTTCGGGACCCTGAAAACCTGTTTCGGTTGAGTTAAGAGCCTACGATGTCGATGCAATTTGCAGGGCTTGGGAAACACATTATCACAAGGAAGACATCTTGATTTAACACTAACTTTAACAGCCCGAAACTCCCCATCTACACCACCAGAAAAGCAGAAAGGAATGCTCCTGGAATCTCAAACCCCTGGAGCGGAAAGCCACCTTGGAAGATCCTTACAGCCTCATGCTCATAAAACCTTTTAGGCCCTAGACCTTAAAACTTGCTCTTAAAGCCTTGCACCCTGCACCAAAATGCCTAAACCTGAAACCGTATAGACCTAAAACTTGTCTGGTAACCCTTGTAGGAACCCTGAAAGCAACCCGACAAAATATACATTTGTTGTGGGGGGGGATCATGGGACTTAGTAAGCAAGGCTGTAAATACCTAGTTGGAGTGGTAACTATTTATCACTCTACCTGCCCTATCTTTAGCACTAGCCGCAAAGCCCCATGATCCTGCAACTACCCTAAACCCTAAATCGTTGGCAAAGCAACCCCAATTAATAAGAACCTTGAACCCTAAACCCCAACCTTAAACCCTGAACACCAACCTTACATCCTAAATCCCAACCCTAGTATCGTAATCATCAGAGGAACCCCTTTAGAAGCTTTAAAGGACTCTTTAAAGCAGCCCTTAACGGAGCCCTTAAAGGACTCCTTAAAGGGACCGTGAAAGGGACCCTAGAGGTGCCTTGAGGTCGTTCAAAGTCGGCACCTTTGCCGAGTCGGCTTTCAGCTCCAGGATCTGGAGCATGGCCTCTCAAAGCTTGGAGGGTTTCGGTTTGGGGTTTGGGGTCTAGGGTTTAGGGTCTGGGTGTAGGGTTTAGGGTCTGGGTTTAGGGTTGAGGGTTTGGGAGGATGGCCGCTCAAAGCTTTCAGAGTCCATATACCCTACCATTACGTAATCCTTATGGAATATAATGAGGTACCGTAAGACCATCCCTACTATGGTTTTTGGGGGCTTAGTTCCATACTGGTATATGGCCTGTCAAAGCTTACTGAGATTTCTTGCTCTATGTTATCTCAACCGTGTTCGACTATTGCAGCCGTATGTACATGTACATAATCATGATATATATATATATTTATATATATATATATATATGTATGTATGTATATATATATATATATATATATACATATACATATATATATATATATATATACGCACACGTATTGACATATACATATTTAGCGCTATGCGCTTCACCTGTTTGCAAAATTGTATGCCCTACAATATCAAGTCTACAGCCGAAGCCCGAAACCGAGGTTTGACACGGGGAATTTGCTTGCTTTTCCCTGCTAGCGCTTCTGGCCATCGACAGGAGTCGAGGCCTGACCTATCTTTGACGATATGACTACGAGCACGCAGACGTTCACAGTAGCTGCGTGTTTTCAGTGCAGTATGCCCAAAGGGGCACCACGGCCCAAGATATACTTTCACTCGTATCTGTAAGGAGCTATGTAAAACCTGACACAGACCCTTGTTCATATACCTGTAAACCGAGAGCACAGAGCCATGGACAGTCAATGCGCATGAAGCTAGGTCCGTATCGTGCCGAGTCAAGGCCAAAAAAACAGTGAACAACATGCAGACATCGCCGTGTGGCCGAACGTTTAAGCTTTCGACCCTGGAATGTCACACTGCTTTAAATTGTACTCTTGGTAAACACAAGACCGAAGAGCCAAACACCCTCATTCCTAATTATCCGAGCGCCTGCATCTGCTCGTACGTCGGAACAGCTGAAACATCCGCCTGTCAGAACGAAACATAGCACCTAAGTAGTCTACACTTGTGCCGTTCTTTGTAGCTTTTAAATGCTTGTGCTTGCGCCCTGAAACATTTAGGCTTAGGGGTGCTTCGGCTCATGATTTCTAGCAGATGGTCAGGTACACAATACCGATCAAATTGGCAGGACCCGGAACGCTACCTTTCGCTTTGCAAACGGAACCTTAAACGAAAAGGGCCGTCGTTCACGAATCGTGGCATTCCATTGCGAGCTGTTTCGGACAACCAAGCGTTTCGAGGCTCTTGAAGCGTTGATCATGTTTATATGTCTTGCATGTGCGGAATTCGGGGCATGAACCTACGGTACGGCCATGCTGCCGCACAGCCCTGAATGCTCGCGGTTTGTCCCCAGAGCCACCGGCAAGCTCAAAGCCGCAAACCTTGCCCCAGGAATGCTGCTTGAAAGCTTGGTAGATTTGACGACCATACAGGCTCGATGTATGCAAATCCATCTTCAACAAGTCTTAGTACAGGTCGTGTGAACTTCCAAGCAAGTACGAAAACCGTGAATCATCTCGGACACCCCGAAACCCTAAACCCTCGCAGGCAAAACATTTAACTAACACCTAAACCCCCAAAACATTGAATCCCTAAACATCCCCGAAGCCCTGAACCCTTAATTAACCCTGAACGCCTAAACCCGAAATCCTGGCAAGCCTTATCCCCCAAGCGGAGCTCCAACTGCTGAAGCGTCGGCACGGCCGAAGTCTCGGCCTCGAACAGTTTGCACTTTCTTTGGGGAAGTCAGGGTTTACCCTTTAAAAGCATCCATAAGGGCTCTTTAAAGAGATCTAAAAGGGTTCTATAAAAAAGTTTAAGGGTTTACGGTTGGGGTTTAAGGGAGTTTAGGGAGGTTTAGGGTTTCTTAGGGGCTGAGTACCCTAGAAGAAAAATCAATTATGGCAGGATTTTATATAAGCCCCAAAAGCTTAAAGGTTGCCTACTCGGCTACTAATTTAAGGAAATTTAGGAAGGTTTTCGGGGGCTTAGTCGGGAAGCTTGGTGGGGTTCAGGGTTTCGGGGGTCTGAAGTTTTGGGTGTGGTTTAGGGGGTCTGAAATTTTGGGTGTGGTTTAGGGGGTCTGAAGTTTTGGGTGTAGGGTGTAGGGGGTTTAGGTGAGTTGAGTTAAGGGGGTTTTGGGTGGTTAGGGTGCAAGGTTTAAGGGGTTGGGGTTTTAAGTGTGTTCAGGGTGTAGGGTTTAGGGGGCTTAGAGAAGTCTGGTGGGGCTTAGGGTGTAGAGTTTAAGGGGCTTAGGGTTTCCGGGGGGGGTGGGGGGGTGGGGGGTGGTTCAGGGTACGGAAGTTTAGGAGGAAAGGGGTTTAGGGCAGTTTAGGTTCAGGGTATAGAGTTCAGAGGTTTAGTTTTTTTTTGGGGGGGAGGGGGGGGGGGGGCGTTTATGGTTTGGGGACTTAGGGAGTTGGGGGATCATCTCTGGGTTGTCTTTTTTTCTGCTTCTCAAGGGATCTCGGAGGTGCTATACAAGAGGTTGAGAAAGGACTGTTTCTTGGAGGTCATGGGACTTTGTAACTATGCCGGGTTATGATTAAGGAAACTATAGCTATAACGACTTGCAACTCCAACTAAGGGACTTAAACCCTTACTTCCTTGCCACATGATTTCGAAAGCGCTATACAAGAGGGCGAGACAGACCCTGCACTTAAGGTTTTGGAGGATCATGAGACTTCAGAACTAACGCTATATATACGGCAAATACAGCTACAATAACTTACAAGTCCAATGAGGGTACTTTTCACCTTACTTGCTAAGTCCCATGATCTTCCAAACCAGGTTTCGGTGTTTGGTGTTCTGGGCTTTGAGGGCTGTAGAGTCTCAAGGACTACTCATGCTTTGGTTTTGGGCCTGTAGCTGTTCAGAGATGAGCAGCGCGGAGCGCGCCATCAGTCCCGCTAGGATGATGCAGCCTGAAGCATCGGGCCCTGGGGGCTGCTTCGGGCCTTCTTGGCGCTAGGCCTCGGAGGCAGCGCGCGTGGCACCGCAGAGCGGCAGTAAGACACGCGCAGCGCCAGTTCGAGGCGGACCGAGACGCTCATTGAGTGAGGTCATGAATGAATGCCTGTAGCTGGCAGTGATAGTGATTGAGTTTCGGATTCGCATTTTCGGGTGGAGGATTGGATGCTCCGTGTGTGGGACTAGGCGACGCAGGTTTTTGAGTCTCTGGACTGGGTGTCGGGCTGGGAATTCGGACAGTCGTGCGCCGCCAAGCTTGACGCTTATAAGATTCCCAGAGCCAGCGAATTGTGCAGCGGTAACCCAACCCTTGAAGCCGGGCCTTGCGGGCAACCTCCACACGCAAGTCATCCAACTCCTGCATATGCCTCAGCTGTACGTTCGGGGCTGGAGTGTATGGTTTAGGCACGTGCATGGGGTGCAGGAGCACAGTTTTGTTGGATTCAGGATCTTAATTAGTTGATCCCCAAACAGTTGCGCGCTCATCTGCCACAAGAAACCTAAGCCTTTGAAACTGGTTTGGATCAAACATGTCTTCAGAGTTACATCATTGGCGTCCCTGGTTCCTGAATTGCTGCACATTGCAGATACTCTCGACATCGCAGCTCAGCATTCAGGATTTCGGAACAAGCCGTAGTTTGGCCCAGCTGCTTCGGTAGAGCAAAGTTTCCGATTAAGAAAGGGACCTTAAATAATTAGAATAGGGTTATGCTTATTTCAGGTTCGAGCGTATAGGTTACTCGCAGGAATATTGCCTCCTACCTGGCGGTACAGTACATGACGACCGAGCTGCCAGCCAGCCGGTTACATGACATACCCCAGGGTTCCATGTGCTCACATATTTAGGTAAGGTACTTGGTGCCAACGTATATGCTATACGGGCACATGGACCCTTATGTTGACGTGAGGGCCGGGTTCGTCTAAAGCTTGTCAGCTCTGCTACGAACCCGCATGACCCTCTCTTGAAACCCCGAATTTAAAAACCTTAGACCCGCAAGACTGAACCCTAAACCCCGTAACCTTGCCGCAATCCATAAACCACACACCGTGAAACAGGAAACCAAAACGACAAAAAATGAAAACCCATAATGGCCCCAATACAGATAACCCTAAACACCACAGACACCATGAACAAACACACCTGACAATCCTAAACCCCAAACCCTAAACCCTAAGCCCTAAACCCTAAACCCTAACCCTGAAACCCCCTAAAGATTATTCTGCATGTCGGGCTGCTTTTTTGCCTCCTTGGAGGCGGCCTCACGACTCTCTTGGAACTCGGTGGCATGGGTCCGGAGCTGACTTTCGAGGGCCTCCTGCACAGGCGCACTGCAGAACCCTTAGAGGAATCCTTAAATGAGCCCTTAAAGGGGGCCCTAGAACCCTATAGTACCATTAAAGGGGACCCTATTATAGTATCCTAGTTCGATGACCCTCCATAAAGGGTCATTCACACAAGGATCCCCCAAAGGGTTCACGGGGTGCGGATTCTTGCTGTAGGGGCTTAGGTACGACGGAGAGTGCACGCTCCAAGCAACGTGGTTTAGTCTATCTGACGGGGCACACCCGAAACCCTAAAGCCCTAAATGCTAGACTTCAATCAAGCCCTGAAGCCCTCAACACCAGACCTCAAACCCTAAGCCCTAAAGCCTGAAGCCTGAAACGCTACACCCTAACCTCAACCTACCATAATTCGGAGAGTGAGCAATTCGAACCCTCGTCCCTCGGTATTCTTGTTGTTAGCCACAGCAGGACCCCCCCCCCCACCCTGTAATAATTGCTCAAGCCCCTACCTTCAACTTATGAAAACCCTTTTAGAACCGTTACAAATTGTAAATTGCGTCAAACTCTCCCTACGACCCGTATAACGTATAACCACAGTCTTCCGCATGGTTTCACCATGAAGGCCCCTGTGACCCCACTATAGTACCGTTCTTCAAGGGTTTCATTAAAGGGTCAGGGTTTAAGGTCTGCAGGGTTTATGGCAGGACCTCAGCCCCTAACAGGCCGGTGTGTGCGAGTTCGGAGTGCACGAGGTTGATTGGTTTTACGAATGCTTGGGATTGTAAGGTCGTAGGGTTTACCCAGAGGCCCCAAAATAGTTCCTTTTTGGGATTACCTTATAGGATTCTATATATATATATATATATATATATATACCCCGAAAAGGAACTACTTTGGGGCCTCAGGGTATGCAAAGGTGAGATGCAATGCCAAAGCGCCCCTGCGCTGGACCTAGAAACCCTCGCCAACTCCTTCCTGGTGGCAGTTGTACTTCTCAGGGTTGTAGTTTTGGGGCTCTGAAAAGTATTTATGAATAGGTACCTCTATAGGAACCATAAGGGAAATTAACAAGTTTCCCAAATTGCCACCTAGTTCTGATGAGGCAAGGAACCTCCAAGAAGGCCCTCACCAAGATGGTACACGTTAGAGGGTCGTCTTCCAGTAGTTGCACGTCTCTTATGTTGCTACTTGTTTATCGTTCCTATAGTTGCTGTTATTTTGGTCGCCATGGGGTATTTTAAGATGATTATTATTCTGCCTATGATGATGGTGATTATGCTCATGATTATTCTGTTGCCGTTATTGTTGTAAGCCCGAATCCCTGAATCCGAAAAGTTGCAGGCAGGTCCTTAATCGACTCCACAGCGGGCGAGTCGATCTTCAGGTCCAGCAGCTTCTTGACGGCCTGGGTGGTAAAGGATGAGGAAACGAGCAAGACAATGGGACAGCGGGCAGCTTTGCACGCCAGATGTGGAACATAGACATAGAGCCGGAGACAAATCCAAAGCACTTCAAGCCTGCAAATTCCATAAAAACCTCAGCGTTGATCACACGACACTATGTGCTCCATGCGTTGCACTTGCTCTGTAGAGTTGTTCGAACATCGTGGTCTCAGCAGTTTTTGTAATTCAGCCCTGTCGAAGCTGGTAGCCTTTGTTCGAGAGCATCAAAATCAACCAGAGTTCCTGTATCCCTGGGCTGGCTCAGCACTTGCTGTAAACCAGCTCAGTCGAAGCTGGTAGCCCTTTTGTTCGAGAGCTATTCCTGGCCAGGCTGCCTCCAGCTGCGAGTTGGTGGGGACCTCTGTGACCTCTGCCTGGAAGGTGGAGAGTTGTGGGGTAGCGCTGAAGCCCCAACTTGGCCATTAACCATTTGTTCTCTCGACCAGTCATATGAGCAATGACAACCAAGAAATAAGTGGCTTGGGGCTCCACATGGCATTTATGAGGTTTTGAATCGATTTCCATACGCCCGCATTGCACCCTCTCGCAGCCTTTTGCTGCACCGCATCCACCAGGGAGTGGAACCTTAGAAGGTTCAGCGATCCAGTCACAGTCCACAGCTACAAGTACATCAATGGCAGTGGTACCTACTTTGGGGCTTGGGGCTTAGTGCTCGAACTTAGGTGTTTGGGGTTTAGGGTATATGTAAGGCCCTGATACTACAAATCCTACCTACGCTGCGGTTTAAGGCTGAAGTTTCCGTCCTCAAGCAATACAAACAGTACCGTCTCTGGGTCTGATACGTTCAAGTCCAGAGGTGTAGAGTCCAAAGCCTGACCTTAACCCTGAAGAACCTACCTTTTT